TTATCGCAGCCACTTCAAAAGAGCGAGGAGCTGCTGGAGCCCAGGAACTTCTGAACTTTTGTCTTTAGCAAAGCAAATGTTTATTATGAGTCTACAAACACCGACACACAGCTTCCTCCTGCCCTGATCTTTCTTTAATTACACCCAACGGCAAAAGGAGGGAGGCCGAATCCATCAGTGGCCTGAAAGCAAGCGGGGAAAAAATTACTAATTAAGCTAAAACTCAACATTAAAACACTTACCATTAAAAACAAACCAAACCAAAACAAAACCCCATTTCCGAAAGCAGGAGTAGCCCTGCCTCGGCAGCCGTTTGGGGAGCCCAGTCCCCTAAGGGGGCATGAAATGATACTCTTAAGAGCAAGCAGGCAGAGACACGTACCCGTGATATAACCGTAAGGGCTTGGAGAAATGGATGCGACTGAATGAAAAGGAGGAAATGACTTAAAATGGCCGAGATCCCAAGCGAGCCCTCCGGACACTGCGGCACGGGTCAGGCCCTGCCGAGGAGGCACCGCCGGGGACCCAGCACTCCTCTTGCCGGAGTAAAGGCGTTTTATTCAAGTATCAAGTGAAGCACAGGTTAAACCCAGGGCAAGATCACAGAACAAATACATCTAGAGCGTGGCACTATGATTAGTTTTCTTATTATTTTTATGTCAAAGGCTGATTTACCAGTAAAACTCGGCCATCCATGTCACACATACTGAAGCCAGACTCGGGCCATGATGCAGGGATTTTTCACAAATCTTTGGGCCAAGGGGCCTCGATCTGGCCGAGCCGGGCAGGATCGGGCCCTCTGGGCCGTAAAAAAAAGATTTATCTGCTTGAGCACAATTTCTAAGGGAAGGGAAACCGCTTCAACCTCTCAGGCTCATACACTGTAACTATTTGTAAACGAAAAGTAAAAGCTACTCAATTTTCCATGCAGCTCCTCAAAACAAACAAGGCGTTCGTACCTGCCTCTCCCAACGTTTGCAGAATAAATCGACTTGTGTTTATTAAGAGAGGGCGATTTAAAAGACCAGTAAGTATTCTTCGCCAAAACAACTGCCTAAGTAATTTACTGACAATTACTTATCTTCTCCACGTTAATTGGCTAAACAACATATGGGTTTACAAAACAATTAGCGTGGAGTTTTAATAGGCGGTGTGTGAAAGCCGGGCATAATTGATATAGGAACTACATTAGGAGCTTTTAACGTTAGTGCTGCCTGAATGAGCCCTCATGGATTCCAGCATGACTATTTGTCTTTTTAATCAAGGTGAAGAGGTTAAACAGCCTTTCAGATGACTTCTGCATACAACCTGGAATAGGCGAGCACAGCGTAAGATAAGACAATTAAAATACTTATTTCTATAGAAACGGAAACATCCCCGTACCTGCTTTAGACGCCTCCATTTGGCTCTGCGATTCTGAAACCACGTTTTGACCTGAGCAACGACAACGAGAGAAGGCACAGGGTAGTCTCGGAGCTGGTAAGCACCAGGAGCCTTACCCGAGCCACAAGCAGAAAGCGAGAGCCAGCCCCCCCGGCCCCGAGCCGGCCG